AGTAACCGATAGACATACTCGAGTACAATTAATATATCCAGGATTAGCGTCACTCTACGACGGGAGGGTTTTCGTAAATGCAAAGCCTTTATTGGACAAGGTCACTAACTGTGACCTGAGATTTACCTAGATAAGGAGACGCCACGCTCTGCCAAACTAGCTAAATTCCTAGTGTCGATTATTACCTGCTCTCCCGTGATAGTCGGCACGACAGTGAACTGGGTTTAATAATAATAAGTTCATGGGCTTCAAGTCAATTTTGACATAATAATAAGGTTTGTTGATAATGAATCTGGCAATTAATAGGATGCAGAATACAACATTATTATTATAGGATATGCATCAAGAAATATCTGAACATGATAATGACACCAATTATAATACCTTCAAGCTGTAAATAACTTCTTGGTCAATTGGCCATAAATTGATGTTGTATTAGGAGAACATTAGAAAGGGTCTCATAGGTTTTTTGTCTTATAATATTTGGCATTATCTATTAAAATATAACAATAACAGAAGCATATGCTGATTGGCTCTATTCTGTTATTATTATATTGAATTGATGCAAAACAACTTATTTTTTATTCAAATATGTTGGTTGAGATAATAATAATAATAAGCAAAACTGATCTCTGCACCCAAGCCTTGTTATGGTAATAAGGTTTGTTAATAATACATTACATTATAAATCTTTTAGAGAAAAGTTGTATCACTTACACTAGCTATTATTTAACTTTTTTAAGCAATATATTTAAAATTTTTTATATCTCCACATATATCCAAGATATTCTAGCAGACTTTTTTTTAAAAAAAGCGTATCAACAGTAGTGCTTTAAATCAAATAAAAGAAAACGTTATTTATTATGTCCGATAATTTAACAAAAAAGGTTCCATAGAGCATAAATTTGTTGATTTATTACCCAAAATATGTGCCTTAGTAAAAATTTTATCTTCATATAAATGTAAGACAAAAACTCAATGGCTTAATTACAATTAATAATAGTTTATTTGGTCTAATACTAAATTTCAGAATATTTACATTATTACCTGTTGAGTAATTTAAATTTGATCTTACTTTTATTGATTGTTGTATACTTTTGGTAGGTTAGTGTACTTGGTAGTGCAGCCTTCCTTTTCAGAAACTTGATTTTGGAGGCATTGAGCTTTGTTACCCATTATAGACTGATCAAGACCAAACTTGATCTGCAAATCACAATCAGCAAAGTTAGGCACAGCTTGTATAGCCATGGCAACCATAAACTGGTATTTACATACAATGGTTCATTCCATCTTCTTTCCCATGAGATGAATGTCTGCATCAATTTGCTCAGATTCTGTAGTCTGCCAAAACAACTTCACATCTTCACAATTAGCTTGCCACTGCAAGTAGGAAAGAAGTATTACTTTTTGATACTGAAATGTGGCAATGCAGGTCATCGGAGGCTGCGAATGAACAAGTTGCTCTTGGTGCTGAGACGGGTTGCCTCTGACCTACACGCAGACTTGGGATAGGGCCCACCGGAGGAGTTCCCCATAACTAGCCTGACGAGTAGCCAGGCCGCTTAGGTGGTTGCATCGACGTGTTGCCTGACCCTTCCCCTATCTCCTCGCCACTTTATATCTTTTCAACAGTACTGGATATAAATACATCACCTTTAGTATCGCACTGTCAAGGAGAGAAGCAGCTCTCCTCCAGTCTCCATCACTTGTTTTTGCAAGGTGCGAGACAAATTTGGATATGAATGTGTGCTCTGTGGATTTGTCAAACATGAAATCATCTTTTCCTTGACAAAACTTCAATATAGTAAGAAGATTGAAGTTTTGGGGATCCAAAGAGTTCTTCCATCCTTTGAAATGCTTCTGAATCATCGACTTGGGTGACAGCTTGGATTCAACCTTAGAAATGGATGTTGCTTGTTGGCTTTTGCTTCAAGTATTATAACGTTACTTGACATGACGTGCTCTTTTCCTTTTTCCCCTGGTAATACAGTCAACCCTCTTTATAGTCACCCCCTCTATAAGCACATCATATAAAAACCTCTTTATAAGCACACCATGTTT